CATAGGAAATAGCAAGAGTGATTACAATAGTTCCTATTGCATTACATGCATAGGAACTAAAAAGATTATTTTGAACATACCACATGGAATACTCTGACATGACGTAAGCGTTTCTGAATCTCCAGCATAAAAGTTGAAGTCCGGGATCGGATTACGGTTTTTTCCAAACTCAACACACAAATAACGAAAATCCGTACAATACATTCCCCTCATGTCCTGAGTCCCTCTGATATTGGTGAACTGGAGTGGAACTTTATTTTTGTATGGTATCGATTGGTAGCGCGAAGGCAAAATCTAAAATGATAAAACAAAATATATAATGAATTTTCATCAAAAGAACCGAGAGTGTACGATGTAGTATATTATTGATCGGAGTTAAATTTATCAAATTACGATAGTTTGGCTTCAATCCAGACCTTATACTTTTTAATTGTCATTACCTTAATAATGATTCACCCTCGTCAACTTCAAGTCAACTACGTTTTAATCATCAATATCATTAGATTATCATCATCGTTATCGTCGTTGTCATTCTAATTATCACAGTTATAGCCATAAAAGAATATGCATTACTGTCAGCATTATTTTCGTTATCGTCGTTGTCGTCCTCGTCATCGTCGTCGTTGTCGTCCTCGTCATCGTCGTCGTTATCGTAGTTATCATGGTCAACAATATTCATCCTCATTGTTGCATTTTTAATCATTTGAAACTTCTAATGATATAAAGATCCCTAATTTGTGAATATTTACAAAAAAAGTCATTGTTATCAATTCTATTTGAATTAATATACGAAGTAAGCGATTTTAAAATTTAAATGTATATTTGAAGTTTATTAGCTCATAAGAAAGTTTTCTTTAAAATTACAGATTGTCAAAAATATTTCATCGTCGTCATCGTTATAATAATCGTCTGACCACCTAAATGATTATCAGTATTATCATCCGCCTACCAACAGAATTATCATCATCGCTATCTTGATAGAATCATCATCATTTTTAATCATCATCATCATCGTCATCATAACTTTTGTATCATACATATCATTATCATCATACATAAAAGACATAAATTAATATAAGACAATTTACCTGATCTGCAACAGGTAGTCGTTGTCCACTTCCATCTGAATTACGACTACCAAACATACCGACACGCCAGAGGGCAGTGCCAGAAATATCGTTACTGGTTGCGTCGGCTGTGATAAATATGTCGACGAGAAAGTTGCTCATGTGCGTCTTACTTATGTGCGCCCTCATCTGCCAGTCCATCGAAGATAAGTAAAATGCCTTCAAGCCACTTAAAGCTATCGGGACCCTTGTAGGTACTGTATTTCCAAATATTAATAAAACTCATTATCGAGAGGCCGGCAAAACGTACAGCAGCCATTGCCAATCTTCGAGACGGTGAAGCGGCAAACCCGTCTGCTGACTGTATAGGTCCGTAGTCGGCCGATGTCATGAACATTTAGCCGGGCGTGTCTCGTTGCGTTGCGGTATGGAAACGCGCCGGTATTTGGAATTTTCAGGGGGCAATACATTAAGGCACAGACAAATCAAGTATACTGTAAACGAATATGATTAGCTGAAACAAATATTTTTAATTTAAGCGTGTAAAAGTATAGGATGCAGACAAGTGTTCTACAGAAAGTTTACACAATTAAACATATGTAATAATTTATCGTTGATTAAAATATTAGTATATACAGAACTATTAATCATTATACACACCTTCTTCTTTGGATGTTAATTTGTCGTTAGGATCACCGTTATTTCGGGTACCTACGTCACGAATACTAATACTTCCACCAGTCTCATCCTTATTACCTTTTCTATCACTGTCAGTCATTTCATCATTATTCCATGCACCTCCCCAACCACCTGCTCCTTTTCCACCAAATCCTCCCCAACGACCATTTGCACCTTCTCCAAAGCCATCACTTCCTCCTCCGCCACCACCACCATTAACTCCGCCTCCACCATTTCCTCCACTCCCATCATTTCCTCCACCGGTAATATTTCGACCACTACCATCACCACCGCCTCCATCTATTCGACCCCTATCGCCACTTCCTTTACTTCCTCTACCATATTCCTGTCTCTTATACACATCTAGATGTGTATAAGAGACAGTCTAAGTTATCACTAAAGTGGCATACTATAGGTTAAAGTCAATCGCGATTTATTCTCACCTGTCTCAGGCCTATTTGGTCTAACACAAGGAGCTACCTGACAGGAACGCAACGTGCCGCCCATGTCTGATACAATTTCAAAATCAGGCGTAGCCAGGTCATTTTTTGTGAATTCTAAACACATATATTTAAATGTTCCACATCCCACGTGGCTAACATCGTACATGGTTCGAATCATTATGACTGTGTCCATGCCCTGAGCAAACAGCTGGCCGCGCTGGCTGCCAGGCAAAATCTGACGCACATAGTTGGATCGTAGTGACGTACTTCCATCCGGGGACTCGCTACCATAAAGACCAACGCGCCATAGGTTGCTACCCGTGATGAAGTCACTGTCGTCTGCTACGTCAACTATGAGGTTTATGATGAGATCACTTGGTTGGCCAATATTAACGCTGCCTCTTGTCGTCATCTCCCACGTCATGCCATCTAGGCGAAATACACCTGCATGCACGGCAAAATTTAAAGGAAATAAAAATCAGCATATATACAAATAATTAAAATAAATATGCATAACAAAGTAAATGTGTTTTTAAAGATAATGTCTGATGTATAGGCACTAACTACGAAAGCCCTTAAATTACCAACCAGTTCAGTCTATGCAAAGAATATTTTAGTATTTAGTATTATCTATGGGCCTATTATTTTACATGGAAAATATATTATTGCTCAGATGTTTGTTAAGAAGTGAATAACATCGAGAGGCCGGCAAAAAGTACATTGACGACAGCAGCCATTGCCAATCTTCGAGACCGTGAAGCGGCAAACCCGTCTGCTGACTGTATAGGTTCGTAGTCGGCCGATGTCATGAACATTTAGCCGGGCGTGTCTCGTTGCGTTGCGGTATGGAAACGCGCCGGTATTTGGAATTTTCAGGGGGCAATACATTAAGGCACAGACAAATCAAGTATACTGTAAACGAATATGATTAGCTGAAACAAATATTTTTAAGTTAAGCGTGTAAAAGTATAGGATGCAGACAAGTGTTCTACAGAAAGTTTACACAATTAAACATATGTGATAATTTATCGTTGATTGAAATATTAGTATATACAGAACTATTATTCATTATACACACCTTCTTCTTTGGATGTTAATTTGTCGTTAGGATCACCGTTATTTCGGGTACCTACGTCACGAATACTAATACTTCCACCAGTCTCATCCTTATTACCTTTTCTATCACTGTCAGTCATTTCATCATTATTCCATGCACCTCCCCAACCACCTGCTCCTTTTCCACCAAATCCTCCCCAACGACCATTTGCACCTTCTCCAAAGCCATCACTTCCTCCTCCGCCACCACCACCATTAACTCCGCCTCCACCATTTCCTCCACTCCCATCATTTCCTCCACCGGTAATATTTCGACCACTACCATCACCACCGCCTCCATCTATTCGACCCCTATCGCCACTTCCTT